GGATCAGATGGTGAACCCCCCCCCCCTTCCTTCTCATTTCTGCATCCTGTTGAGGCTCCGCCAGTCCCCAGATGTGCTTTGGGCTGCAGGACCCCTGAGCTTGCGTGCCTGGAGGGCTCCTTACTCTGCAGCCTCCTCCCTGGCCTCCCGGTCTCCAGCCTTACCCTCCTCCTCACCCTCCTCCTCTGAATCTCCTACCCGCTGCTGAGTTAGCCTAAACGGTAAACCCGACCACGTCTCTTCGCAGCTGAGAACCCTCCGGACCAGTGGTCTCCAGCTGGCTGCTCGGCAGGGTTAGCTGAGAAGCTTGGGGCCAGCACAGCCTGATGAAACGGCAGCTCTGGGGGCGTGGGGCCCTGACAGCCGGCGATTAAAGTCCCTCAGGAGCTCTGCTGCGCCCCCAGTGAGGCCAGCCTGCAGGGCCTTTCCTGCTCTGTGTCCTGCCCCCTCCCCCAGCCACACTCCCCAACTCCCCATCTCCCCAAAGCAGCGGTTCCTTGTACTTCCTCTGTGCCTTGCTGCGCTCCCCTCCCCTCCCTCCTCCCTGCTCCCTGCTCCCTGGCCCGGGGCCTCCTTGCCCCTGTGCTCTCCCGCCTCTCCCCTGCGGGCCTCTGTCTGGCCAGGCACCCCAGAGGTCAGGGTCTGCCTCCCGCACGGGTCCCGGGGCACTCGGAAGAACTCGCTGCACCAACATGGTTTGGGGCCTGTGCCTGGCGGGTCTGTGCTGACCTGGGGCTTTCGGTCGTGTTTGCGGAGCACGGACGTCCTTCTCAGAGTGACCCAGACTCCAGAGTCTAGGAACTGTTCCCACCCGCAGGCCACGCCTTGCCTGCCTCACCCCACACGGGCCTTTCCGGAAAGCTCCCCGACCCACAACCCATGGAGACATTTCCTGGCCGCCCATCCCCCTCAGAAGTGGGGCCACATCCTGGGCTCGGCCGGGCAGCCTTTTTGTCTCCTGGGCAGGGCCCTCGGGGGTGATGGTTCCCTGGGCCCCTTGGTGTTTCGGTGGTTCCTCTTTGCCCTGCGTGGCGTGTAGGAAGGTCGTAATTCCATTTGTTCTTTGGGCCTCTGGTGCTGGGCGTGGGAGGGCCTGCACGCACACAGAGGTCAGGCCCAGCCTGTGGGTGCGGGCTGTGGCTGGCGGCTGGTGGCCCGGTACCCCACCCGCACTGTCAGCCGACTGGGGGGAGCAGATTATGGGGGAGTGTAAAGTGGGCATGGGGGGGACATGTGTTCTGACGCAGGAGCGCTTTTCTGTCCCAGCTCAGCCGGCTCAGAGGAGCCATGCTCATCCCTTCCCAGCAAGCTGGGGGCCGGCCCGCGGAGGGTCTGCATCCTTGCTGATATTCCTGTTACCCCCCCGCCCCGAATCCCCATGCTGTAAAGGAGACCCTGGCACCAGTGACCTGGGAGCACCCAGGCCTGGAGGGTGGGAAGAAAAATCACCCCGACCTGGTCAGGGACAGAAAGGGGTTTCCGCATGATGCAACTCACAATCTCCTTTTGGGAAGAAACCAGCTTTCCAGATAAATGCAGTGTTAAAAAACAAAACCTAACCCAGTACATTTAAAGCCCTAATTGGCTTTGTTAAGCGATTCGGGAACCAGACGGCACCCCAGGTAGCAAGCAGAGGGGAGCTCCCAGGAGTTGTACAAAATGGAAGGTTTTCCTAGGAAAGAGAGTGCGGCAAGATGTTATTCGCAAAAGAAAAGTATCTTCTAGGCGAGCACACTAGACCTTGGGAGGAGGAGGAGCAGGGGCCTTATGCAGGTTAGCCTGGCTTCCTCTGGGGCACGGGCTGTGGCCGGTTCCTTTATTGGGCTGATCGGATCATTCCTGACTGAAGGGTTAGGACTGCATTTCTGGGGGGGCGGTTGGAACTGTAGCTAGGTTAGGTATGAAAGCCCAGTTTGGGGACTCGGCCTAAGTGACACCAATTTGGGCCTGCGATTTTGATGTAGGAAATGTTAGGGTTCGAAGCTGACAGCCAATAAAGAATTCTTGACACATGTTCGGTGCAAAACGGTTTTATTAAAGCAGGAGGATAGGACCCACACGCAGAAATAGCCGCAGCAGGGTTGTGAGGAATGGCCCATTATTTACTTCCAAGTTGGGAAGGAGTTAGAGAGAGCATAAGTCTCTAAGGAATTTTGGAAGCAAGGTTTCCAGAACCTTGAGGGGGCTAGCTATTGTTGGGAAAAGGTCATTTATTACTGTCTAATAAAACCTGAGTCATGAGACCCTTCAGATGTATATCGTGGGTCATCCACTTCGGGGATGATTGCCAACATGTATCTTGGGGGGTAGAGTTAAAGGAAGTTTCCAAAGGAATTTTTATACATTACAGTAGACTCACAGGATCCTGGGGCTCCCGCTAGGATTGTCTTTTGCCCTAGCAAAGCATTAACATCGAAGCAGCTGAGCTCCTAGAGGAATGTCACTCTGCCTGTTTTTTGTTTTTTGTTTTTTTTAAAGATTTTATTTATTTGAGAGAGAGAGAATGAGAGAGAGCACATGAGAGGGGGGAGAGTAAGAGGGAGAAGCAGACTCCCTGCTAAGCAGGGAGCCCGATGCAGGACTCGATCCAGGGACTCCAGGATCATGACCTGAGCCGAAGGCAGACGCTTAACGACTGAGCCACCCAGGCGCCCGTCACTCTGCCTGTTTTAAGGACTTGTCAGTGGCTGTACCTAGTTTTTCTTTGTAACAGCGGGTTTCTGTTAAATGTTTAAGAGTTAAGAACTGGTCTGGGAAATTAGTTGCCTACCCCCATGTTACCTACCTCAAGGTCTTAGTCACCTTTATAACCAGGCATTCTCTTCTACCTGTGTCCACTCGACCAGTGATCATCTAACCACTTTTTTTTAAGATTTTATTTATTTATTTTGAAAGATTTTACTTATTTATTTGAGAGAGAGAGGGATAACAAGAGAGAGCACAAGCAGGGGGGAGGGGACAGGGAGAAGGAGGTTCCCCACCCAGCAGGGAACCCGACATGGGGCTCCATCCCAGGACCCTGGGATCATGACCTGAGCTGAAGGCAGACGCTTAACTGACTGAGCCACCCAGGCGCCCCTAGATTTTATTTATTTGAGAGAAAGAGAGAGAGAGAGAATGAGCAGGGGAGGGAAAGGAGCAGACTCCCCATGGAGCAGGGAGCCCGATGGTCCCAGGCCCCACGATCATGACCTGAGCTGAACCGACTGAGCCACCCAGGTGCCCCCAGTTTTTTTTTTGTTGTTTTTTTTTTAATCCCTACAAAGATCTCCACCAGGAGAGGTCTTTCAGTGGCCTTGCTTTGACTTTCGCAACAAGTTCAAAAAGACGTTAGGCAAAAGCCACACACTTGATTAAATTTTATGGGGGGTGGGGGAAGCATCCTCTTTTAGCAAGGAGGGTGACTACAGTTTGAGAGTACCAGCAGGGGTCAGAGCCCCGCAGGTGCTGTGCTGCCCGCCCTCGCCGCCACGGCTCCAGGAAGGCCCTCTCCTAGAGAACACAGGCCAGCCCCTCCCGGCCCCCAGCCCGGTCTTCACTCAGGAGGTCTGGCGGACTCTCCCCTTCAACAGGCTGCTCTGTGCTGGCTCTGATCCTGCCTCGTCCTTGGGCACATCTGTGTTCCGCCTGCCTACCCGGCTGTAGCAAGAGTCAGGAAGTCACCTCCCTACCCTTGACGCCTGCCCAAGTTCCTCATCCCCCACTCTGACGGATGAGCCCTGGGCCTGCCAGCCCCCGGAATCCCCCAACCCTGTCAGCCTCCTCCTAGGAATCTCCCACCCTCTGAGCCCCACTAACTCTGCTCCTGGGCCATCCAGGCCGGCTCTGCTGTGTTGGGAGCTGAGCCAGTGTCCCCCCTGTTGCGATAGTCGTGAGCCCTGTTGTGACAACCCTTAACACTCTTCCTTCCTTTTCCCAAATGTCACAATGGGCCTCTGACACCGTTTCCTAGTGCTGGTGAGGTCCCCGGGGCGGGATGCCCTCGGGGAGGCTCTGCCCGCCTGCTGGGGACCTGCAGTCTCATCCTAAGAGGGCTTGCCCCGCACAACAGAGTGGGCTGACCCTTCCCTGTTCCCAAACGATCCCTTGCAGGAGACCTGGGAGCAGCAGTGTGTCCAAAGGAGAAAGGACTGTCGTCGGCAGCTGCTCCCTGACAGTGCCAGGCCAGGGCTGAGCCCGCGGCATGTAGCTGGCTTCATCTCCCCCCACCCCGACCTCCGACCTCCGAGCTCTGTGCAGGGGTTCCCTGGGTAGCCAGGCCCTGCAGGCATCCCCAGCAACAGCTGCCGCGCACCGCCCCCCCGCCCCATGCCACCTCTGGGGACCGAGGGGGGGCAGCTCTGTGCTCAGGGAGTTCTGGCTCAGTCACAGCCTGCTACCCTACCCGCCCCTGCGGTTCCTGCAGACTGAGTCCTCAACACCCGCCATCAGGAAACAGAGATAGGATTCGCGTTTGGGGTCTGCAAATCACACGGCACCCCTGGGGCCACCCAGCAAGGCGCAGGGAGAGAGTAAGAGTGGGCAGGGGTTCTGGGGGGCCGGGCGGGGGGGGGGCCCTTCACCGGGTCCCGTGGCTGGCAGTGTCTGCCTCCCTGATGCTGCGGGTTTGGGGTGCGGGGGGCGGAGATGCAAGTCTGTCCTCCACAAGGCCTTGTTGTGCAAAGCGCTGCGGGAGCAAAACCGCGCTCAGCCCGACATCCCCTCCAGCGGCCTTCCTCCTGCTGGCCCGCCAGATGTGGCCGGAAGGGCCGGTCCCCCCATTCCTTACTCGCTCCACGAAGTACCCCACACGCCCCACCTGCCCCCTGGCCCTTGTGTCAGTAGGTCAGGGATGAATGACCCCGGGACACACGGAAGCACAGGGAAATGGGGGTGCACGGGGCGGGGGGCTGGGGGAAGGCTTCAGACAGGAAGTCCCGCCAGCGCATTTCTCGGGAACTGAGCCACACACGACGGGGAGGGGCAGGGCTTGCTTGGAGGCCCGGCCCTGTCCGTCCCACCCTCTGTGTCCGTACGAGCCTGGGCCTTATAAAGCGCCCAGAAGCCTCCCCGGGACGTTCCCTCGGCCACGCCAGCTCCCAGGAGGAAGGTGGGTCCGCGTCCAGCACCATGACCGAACTGGAGACAGCCATGGGCATGATTATTAACGTCTTCGCCCGCTACGCGGGTGTGGAGGGCAGCAAGCGCAGCCTGACCAAGGGGGAGCTGAAGGTGCTCATGGAGAAGGAGCTCCCGGGCTTCCTGCAGGTGAGGACGCAGGGCCTGGGGCGGGGGGGGGTGTGGGGGGGAGCACGCGGGGAGGGTCAGGGAGGGCCCTGGGCCAGCGGGCAGGAGAAAGGAGGGCAGGGGAGGCCGAAGGGGCTGCCCCGCTGAGCTGCCCCCCGCCCCCGCCCCGCCACCGCAGGCCTAGAGCAGGTGGAAGGGGGAGGCCACCCGCCCAAGAATGGATCCGTTGTCCCAGGGGCTCAGGACTCTGGGAGCAGGGAGCAGGGCTGGCCAGCTCAGTCCTGGAAACATGGAGTTGGAGCTACCAGGATTCTTTCTCTGCAGGGGCCCAGTGGGAGAGCTGGGGGGGGAGTGTACAAACCTGAACCTGAGCACTGGAGATGAGGGAATCCAGGGCCAACTGTGAGGCTGCGTTTGCTGGCCCCTCACAGCTGCACCCCTCCGAGGCTGCTGGCCACAAACACCCTGGCTGTCCTGACTGCTTGGCCACGTCCTCCCAGCATTCCTCCCGGCATTCGCAGGCCTGGTGTTAGTGGGGCTGACAGGGGTGCAGATGGGAGGAGGTCCCACCTTGGCACTTTTCTGCCCCAGCCTCGTGGCCTGGATGTGCCCAAGGGAGGCCTCCTCAGGAACCTCAAAACAGAGGGCCCCCCTCCTCTGCCTCCCCTCTTCCTGGTCCCCTCCCCGTCCTCCTTTCCCCACTATGCTCCTCTCTGTTCTTCACCCTCCAGCTGCCTCTGGTGTCCCCTCCTCCCCTTCCCCCTCCCTCCCTCTTCCCCCTTCCTCCTCCTCCTCCCTCTTCCCCTTTCCTCCTCCCCCTCCCTCCCCTGTCCCTCTCTCCCTCCATTTTCACTCCGCCCCTCCCCTTCCTCCCCTCTTCCCCCTCCCTTCCACTCTTCCCTTTCCTCCCCTTCTCTTCCTCCCTCCCTCTTCTCTCCCCCTCCTTCCCTCCCTTTCTCCCTCCTCTCCTCCCTCCCTCTCTCCCGTTTTCTCTCTGCTTCGTCTTCCTCCTCTCTCCCTCTTCTCTCCCCCTCCCTCCCCTTCCCCCCTCTTCTCCCTTTACCCTCCCTCTCTCCCCCTTTCTCCCTCCCCTCCTCTTCCTTTCCCTTTCCTTACTGTCCTTCTCTTCCTCTCTGCTCTTCAGCTCCAGCTCCCCTTCTTTCCCACTCCTCCCCTCCCCCTCCTGCCTCCCCCCTGGCGCCACCAAACCCCACCTACCTGCCCTCTAATGGGTCTACCCTGAGCTGATTCTTGAAAATGAAGCCTAAAATTTCAGTCTTCAATTCAAACACACTGAGCACTTTAGTATGTAAAGGCAGTGAGCATATAAATCTTTAAATGAAGTTCATTTGTTTTTGTCTTTTATAAATGTGTTTGTGGTAGAAGATGTAAAAATACAGAAATGTAGGGCGCCTGGGTGGCTCAGTCGTTAAGCGTCTGCCTTCGGCTCAGGTCATGGTCCCGGGGTCCTGGGATCGAGTCCCACATCGGGCTCCCTGCTCAGCGGGAAGCCTGCTTGTCCCTCTCCCACTCCCCCTCTTGTGCTCCTGCTCTTGCTGTGTCTCTCTCTGTCAAATAAATAAAACCTTTTAAAAAAAAAAAAAAAAAAAAAAAAATACAGAAATGTGGAGGCAAGAAATCCCCCCCATCATACTCTCCCTCTTCCTTTCAGCCTTTTCCCCAGCCAAAAGCTCAACGCTGATGTGCATGAAATTCTAAATACGCAGTTTACTTTCTTTTTGAACTTAATATCACAGCAGTCTCAAACTCCAATGCTCACTGAACGCCCCTGACCAGTGGGGAGCTGGGCGTGGGTGCAGGTGTTCTGACAAGCAGCCAAGTTTGAGTCTAACGCAGGGGGATTTTGAGCCCAAGGTTAGGGGCTGCCAGAGGGGGCAGAGGCAGATGGTCTGGGGAACACAATTTGAGAACCGGTGGCTAAGCCTGGGATCCTCACCGAGGCACTTGGTAAAACGGGGCTCGGGGCCACAGTCCCCCAGGCCTCCAGCTGACGTGGAAGCCCAGCACCTGGTGCAGTGGGAGCTGCGGTCCTGGGGGGCTGTTGGCTACAAACCTCGAGCCCCAGGGTGGGCGGCTGCGGGGTACTGGGCCGCAGGGACACCCCCGCACGGGGTGGTGCGAGGTGAGGCCCTGGCCGCCGCCAAGGCATGGGGGCGGCTCCCGCAGACGGCCTCGGCACCCCTGCCCAGGCCACAGCCAGGCCGCAGCCCCGGATTTCCCCTTTCCTCACTTCAGGGATCAGAGCTCACAGCCGAGGGGAGGGGAGGGGAGGGGAGGGGTGTGCAGTGCATGGGCCAGATGCGATCTCCTGGGGGGACCCCGCCAAGCTGGCGGCGAGTCCTGAGGGTGGTCCCCCTTCTAAAGCATCTTAAACAGTCCAAAGACACCCCCTTCCAAACTTGCCAGTGGGACACGCTGCCTCCTGAGCTGCACCACTCAATTCCGATTCGCCCTAAACCCAACTGTGGGTCCGGGGGGGCTCACAACTTCCCGGGGCCCGGTGACCTTCCCTGCCCCCCCCCTCCGCCCACCTGCAGCAGTGCTAACCCCGGGCCTCTGTCTCCAGACTAAAAGGGACAGGGACGCCGTGGACAAACTGCTGAAGGACCTGGACGCCAATGGCGACGCCGAGGTGGACTTCAACGAGTTCATCGTGTTTGTGGCCATGCTCACGGCCGCCTGCCACAAGTTCTTTGAGCAGGCGGGGCTCCCCTGATGCCCTGCAAACCCAGAGTGGAGGGGGGCGGGGGGGGGCAGCCCCTGGCTTCCAGAATCCTGTGCGCCACCGCCTCCTGCCCAGCCTGTGGCCGCCCCTGTGATCAGTAAAATGCTTGTGAAATGCTCCCAGTCTGGTGGACATGGATTATTTCCTGACCCCTCAGCGCCGCCACCTCCAACACAATGAGTCCCCTGATTCCTCACTTCCTGCTCCTGCCCGGTGGGGAGCCGGAGAGGGAAAGGACACAGTCAGTGGGTAGGACAGGCCACCTGCTGACTGCCCTTTGTGCCCCGGGCCGGCGGAGGCCAGGTCCCAGCTTCTGGGGTGGCTCGGCACCGAGGGAGCGCCACCCTGCCCTGGACCCACGGAGGCCCGCAGGCCGCGCGTCCCTCCGCCCAGCCGTCAGAGCTCTACTCTCACCCAGAGCTCTACTCTCACCGGGGAGTGTGCTTGTTCCCCTCTCTCTGCCCCTCCCCCACACTGTGCTCACTCTTTTTTACAGACTTTATTTGTCAGAGAGAGAGCACAAGCAGGGGGAGTGGCAGGCAGAGGGAGAAGCAGGCTCCCCACTGAGCAAGGAGCCCGATGTGGGACCTGATCTCAGGACCCTGGGACCATGACCTCAGCTGAAAGGCAGACTTAACCTGACTGAGCCACCCAGGCGTCCCAACAAAACGAAATTTTCTTTTCGAAATGGTTCTCAGCAGGGACCTGACATAGCCCAGTCCACTGCTGTGAAGGACCAGGGCTGGCATGAAGCCACGAAGGGAGGCCAGTTAGGACAGCATTGCACTAGTGGGCTAGGGCAGTGGGAGGGGACAGATGAATCCAAGGCACATTCCGGTCGTTCTACCTTCTGTTCTACCTTCTGAAGCACGGTGACAGGAAGGAGAAGGAAGGGGTTGCTGAGAAGGAGGGAGGAATCAAGAAGGCCGTCAAAGTTTCTGGCTCAGAAACTTCACTTTGAGTTGTCTGCACTGGTAAGCAGACACAATTAAATTTTTTTTAAGACTTACTTATTTTTGAGAGAGAGGGAAAGGGAGAGAATCTCAAGCAGAGCCTGACACAGGGCTCAGTCTCATGACCCTGAGATCATGACCCGAGCTGAGTCCAAGTGTCAGACGCTTAACCAACCAAGCCACCCAGGCGCCTCATAATCAAATTTAATTTACATACTGAATTGATACTAATTCATTCAATGAGTATTAAGCACCAACCATGTGGCAGCCAAGCATTCATCTTTGTGCTGGGAATTTAGCGGTAAACAAAATCCCTGCCCTCAAAGGGCTGACATTCCACGTGGAGAGGCCAGACTATACACAGATTAATAATCACATGTCAGGTAGTGCAAGAAAAATAAAAGGGCAGAGAGAGTCGCAGGGATGGCAGTGCTGTTTTAAAGAGAGAGCATAAGGCACCGTGGAAGCAGACACTCAGAAAGTGGCCTAGTGAGCTCTGTGGATATCGGATACTCACCTGCTTTCAGAAGAAACAAAAGTATTGTTTTGTATTGTATTGCAACAAAACAGGAGTGAAGACTCGGGCCTCACAAGCCAGCTGACCCAAGTGGCCACTGAAGAATTTCCCAAGCCTTCCGGAAGAGAGCACAGAATTTCAGATTTCACAGCAAGGGAAGTTTGGGCACCACGGGCTCATCTATGAAAAATGATTTCAGAGCTGCTGACAGAAGGCAATTCAAATTTTCTAGCTGACTTGGAAGTTGGTTCAATTCCACAGATACATAATCCAAGTAGGAGAAAAATTTATGAGTTAAAATAGGAAATCCACACAAAGCCCCGCATGCCTCTCCATTACACTACATCACAAGCATGAGTGAAGACCATCCCCTTGTCACCACAGTGCTCTGCATTAGAACCAAGGGTCCAAAACGATTCAGAAGAATTAAGGCTCTGACCGTGAAGGAGGCTTAGCATCAAGCCCTGGGATAATGATGAGATGAAATTCACCCTAATGGAGGAATATAATCTATGGTCAGTTAATCAAGGGGAAAACCTATGCATACACTGTAGATATCTACACACACACACACACACACACACACACAGCAAGTTTTTCCCTCCCAACACATCTGTTTTTAAATCAGTGAATCAACTTATAACTAAGTTTCCTGAATCAAGGTCCATAATATCTCAAAGAGGGGGTGCTCCTTCAGCCAGCTGCTTAAGAGAACATGGAGTAACTAACCTGCAATGTACATCAACAGGAATGAGAAACCTTGTAGGCTGTAAGCCACAAAGACTTTGGGTGAACTGTTAGCACAGTTTAACTTAGTTGGGTTGACTGACACAGAGAGAAACCTAGTCTTGACACTAGGAAAGCCTAGTGGGTCCCCCTACTCCCCCGCTCGAGGTCAGGCCCTCAACTCCCATCTGCATCAGCCCCCATATTCTTGCCTTCACCCAAGCTCCCACCAACACACAGACCGCAAGCAGTGTAAGCCTCCCACGCTACAGATGTGAGCACGGACGCTCCCCTGCTCCTGGGTCTCAAGGGCTCCCAGCACTACTTCTGTTCCTACTAAGACCTCAGAAGGGCAGGAGCATGGACAAGGATTCCACAGACAGAAACAGCCTCTGTAAAGGACTTTCTTTGTGCCCAGGTACTTTATGATAAAAGTACACATTCATCCAAGACGTGTATCTCGGCTTGTCATCATGAACATGTGTCTGCTCTGATAAGATCACATTTAGCAACTCTGGAAACTGCACCCTGCCTGTCCTATGGCTTTGAGCATCCATTACATAGGCTGATGCAGATGCATTAACTCCCTGATGAAGCCTCTCTCCTCTGCTTGCCCCTCCCACCTGGCTCCCACAGTGCCCCCCATAGTATCCCCAGGGCTGCAGCTCACGTGGTTCCCTAAGCTTCTGGTGCTCCCCTGGTTTCTACTCTCAGAGGTTGTACTCCATGTTCAAGGGCAAGTCATTTGCTCTGAAGAGCTTCCCAGCCCCCTCCATGAGTGCTGAGTCTCAAGCACACTGCAGTGCGATTACTGGTCCCAGCTCTTCCCAACCCAGGCCCCTCCTTCACATTCCTCGGATGGGACAGAAAGCATGTTATGCTCCCACCGATTGAGAGACTAAACAACTTTTCAGCATGCCGATGGCCTGAAGTTCATCTCTGTTAAGAGCTGAGTGTTCTGTCATCCTATCCCCACAGCACCTGACATAAGCAATTCTGCTCCCAGTTCTAGGCTCACAGAGAACCCCAAACTTCAAGCAACTCAGTCCCGCTTGCTGATGGCAGGGCTGAAAGAAGAGTGTCCATTTCAAAAGAAATTTATTAACACACACAGGGATGGGGCGCCTGGGTGGTTCAGTTGTTAAGCCTTCGGCTCAGGTCATGATCCCAGGGTCCTCGGATCGAGCCCCACATCAGGCTCCCTGCTTGGCAGGAAGCCTGCTTCTCCTTCTCCCACTCCCCCTGCTTGTGTTCCCTCTCTTGCTGTGTCTCTCTGTCAAATAAATAAAATCTTAAACACACACACACACACACACACACATAGGGACTCTAGTCATCTGAACAACATCTTTATTTGAAAAAAGGTTTTCTATAGATCTTTGTTTTTCAAGGTAAATGAACACTTATTCATCACATGTCTGACTTTGACCTCAAATCCCAGTCAGGTCTACGCTGATAGACTAGAAAGGACTTTATGGGCCCTGATGATGCCTTTTCCTTTCTTCAGCGTCCCCAGGCTCCTCGTAGATTGTCTCTTTGATGCGATCCTTTGAAACCCCTGTAATGTGTGAGGGCATTCCGACACCAAAGCATACTCCATCATCCCCTATCCAAACTTCTTTGTCATTTGGGGCCAGCAAGGTTGTCTCAATAAACTCACTGGACAGGTGACACCACATACACCAGACACTATGCCACAAGACACAGGTCTCCTCCTGCGTCTCACAGGAATCAAAGTTCCAGAATATACACCTAACCATCTTCCATCTCCAAGTGCCTTCTAGTTCTTCCCAGTGCTCCCCAAAGCAGTCTTACCCCTACACCAGTCACCAGCTTCACCCAAGCAGTGCCTTCCATGCATCTCCACAGACAGAAGATTCTGGCCCCAAGTCTACACACGTTCTGAAAGTCCAGAGAACAATCAGGTCACACGGGTAACAGCAAAACACAAGGCCACACGCCAACATTCCAAACACAGCAAAGTAACAACAATAAACATGAGCGCTGAAACAACTCTTCATTAAGCCCCATTTCCCTTATGAGAGTATTTCTTATACAATAGTTATTTCTCAGGAACCAAATACACTGGACAATCTAAACCCATATCAAGGTCACCAGCTGAAGCCAGCACCCATCTTGTTAATTCAGATGAAAGGACAAACACTAAGGGCGCCTGGGTGGCTCAGTCGTTAAGCGTCTGCCTTCGGCTCAGGTCATGATCCCAGGGTCCTGGGATCGAGTCCCACATCGGGCTCCCTGCTCAGCAGGAAGCCTGCTTCTCCCTCTCCCACTCCCCTTGCTTGTGTTCCTGCTCTCGCTCTCTGTCAAATAAATAAATAAAATCTATAAAAAAAAGAAAGGACAAACACTAGAGGTCTTATCACCCCCAGGCACAGCTGGACTGGCCAGGAAACACGCAGACCCAGACCCAAGAGCCGGGAATGCTTGCGGATCATTCAAAGGAACATGAAGGATGCAATCCCACTCGTTTACGCACAGAGAAGTAGCTCCTTTAGGCACGTACAAGCAGCTGATCAACACTATCCTAACAACAGGATCACCAGATGTACCTAATGAAATCTCCACCATAAGAAATAAAGACATTTTGGGGACGCCCGGGTGGCTCAGTCAGTTAAGCATCTGCCTTCGGCTCAGGTCATGATCCCAGAGTCCTGGGATCGAGCCCCGCATCAGCCCCGCATCAGGCTCCTTGTACAGCGGGGAGCCTGCTTCTCCCTCTGCCTGCGGGTCCCCCTGCTTGTGTTTGTGTGCTCTCGTGCCTACGCGCTCTCTCTCTGACAAATAAATAAAATCTTAAAAAAAAAAAAAGACATTTTTCAGATTCCAAATCTCTTAAGTTCGAAAAGACAGACCTCCATGGGACCAGAATAACTAAGTAACATCTATGAACACAACTCCAGCTCCATCAAGGGCGTCCAGCTTCTGAGGAGACCCCTGCCCCAAATTTTGCCCTTAAAAACTCTCACCTGAAAGCCCTTGGGCAGTTTGGGACTTGGAGCATTAGCTCCCCATTCTCCTGAGTGGTGCCACACCAAGAACCGCCTACCTTTCTTCACTGCAAAACCTCCATGTCAGTCTTTTACTGGCTTGCTGTGGTGTGCATCCGAGGGACAAATTCTCGTTTGGCTCGTTTATACAACCACTGACCCTAAGGGAGGCTGTTACATGCGGATAAAAAACATACAAAAACAGAATAAACAAGCTATTTCAGCTTTCTCGAGGTGTCAGCCCAGGTGACCAGAGTCCATCAGCTGTGAACCTAAGGCACAACTGGAAGAAATTTACCATCAAGACACTGAGTCTCAGATTTCTGCATCCTGGTATTTAAAAAAAAAGAATTAACCATCCACAAGAATGCCACTTCTTGGGTTACCTGGGTGGCTCAGTCTTTAAGCCTCTGCCTTCCGCTCATGATCCCAGGATGCTGGGATCGAACCCCGCATCGGGCTCCCTGCTCGGCGGGAAGCCTGCTTCTCCCTCTCCCACTCCCCCTGCTTGTGTTCCCTCTCTCGCTGTGTTTCTCTCTGTCAAATAAATAAATAAAAATCTTTTTAAAAAAATAAATTAATTAAAAAAAAAAAGAATGCCACTTTTTCAGAGTCCTCTGACACATCTGCCTTCTAGAAGAACCTGGATATTTCTAGTCGAGGCCTACAGCTTCACACTTCTCTGTTTCTTTCCCTGTGTTCTCACCCTCCCCTATTTTGCTTTATGGCTAAGTTTCCTTTGGTCCCCCCGCCACCACCCTCCTTAGTGCCTCGGCGGCTCTACTTCCAGCAACTGTCCCTTTGCAGGTGAATTTTCAGTTTCACAAAGACAAACCCGAGTTATTCTCATTTTTCTCTAATTACCGGCGGGGGCGGGAGGAACCACAAAAATCAGTATCTACTATCACCTAGCCAAGCTAGCACGCACTCACTTTCCTCTCAACCTCAGCTCTGCTCCCATTGCCCCATTTCTGACGCAGGGAGACCGAGGCTTCAGCTTCACTCCTACAACAGGACGACCACCCAGGAAGCTACTGTAATCGGCGATGGCAAGCCCCCGGCCCCGCCCCGGCCCCGCCCCGGCCCCGCCCCGGCCCCGCCCCGGCCCCGCCCCGGCCCCGCCCCGGCCCCGCCCCGGCCCGGCCCCGCCCCGGCCCCGCCCCGGCCCCGCCCCGGCCCCGCCCCGGCCCCGCCCCGGCCCCGCCCCGGCCCCGCCCGCCGCCCGCCGCCCGCCTTACCGCCCGCGCTCCCTCAGGACGACTCGCTTCTCTCTATCCGCCGCACCAGCTCCACCAACATCTCTGCCATCTTCGCGATCTCCTTGGCCTTCTCCTCGACCTTCTCGCACCTCTTGGCCGCCCTGCCCTCCAGCCCACCGCCGGGGTTCTGCAGGTGGTTCAGGGCGCTCTCCTCCGAGGCCTCCACCTGCGTCTTGATCTGGATGAGCATATTGTCCATCTCCCAGAGCTTGCTCCTGTCCCGCAGGTGGGCTCTCCCGTGCTCCCGGGTGAGGGCCGCGATGTCCTCCCGCATCTCGCTGATGACTGGGAGCAGGAACTGCTCGAAATCCTCCCCGGGCTCCGCCAGCTCGACGATGTCCCAGGGCTGCATCTGTCCCGCCCCTCCTTCATGCCCGCACCCCTGGGGACGGCCAAACCGTTACTGCGGGCGTCCGCGCATCAGCAGTGCTCCCGAATTATCCCTCAATGTCCCTCCTTCTACGCCGTCCGCTTCAGAACCGCTACGGAAAGCAACGCCTTGGACCCACACCGCGGCCGGGCCAACAAGCGATACGCGCAGCCATCACCAGCGGTGGGCGTGTTTGCGGCACTTTCACGACGTGGCCCGGCCCCCTTACGGCCATGCCTGGGGCCGGCCTGGTGGCGGGTGCGCGCACGCAGACGGGACTCTGTCCCGGGCGCGCGCACGCCCCCCTTCCAGCTCCCCGCACCCTGCCCCGCCCCCTTCTCTAATCAGCCTTTGGGAGCGCTTTGGGAGCACCTTGCTTACCTCCTCCGCGAGGGCATCCCCGACTTTTGCTTTTACTTTTTCTTTATTTTTTTTTAAGTGAAAGCAATTTTCCCTCCCCAGTATTTGAATAAGACAGGCTGATGTTTACAGCACTTCCTATCCAGGCACGCACTGCTCTAAGTGCTTAGATTAATTCATTTAACCTCAGAGCAAACCTGTTAGATGAAAAACTGGCTAAAACCCGTACTTATGGTCAGAATTTGAACCTGAGCCATCTGGGTCTGCAGTCGCTGCTCTTAACTAGAGCACATGCTCCCTCTTCTGGGACAGGGCCCTTAAGTCAAAAACCCGGGATCCTAACTGGCCTTTTCTCTGTACTCCCCACCCCTCGCTCCCAGATTTTTGTCCTGGGGGTATTTTTCTCCCGCTGCCGGATTGTTCCGGTCAGTAGGTTTTTGGTCTCTCTTCGAGGTAGGGGAGCTGAAGGTACTCCATTTTAGAAAGGCCCTGTCTCTCTTGTTTCTCTACTAGAGCACACTTACTCATGTTCTATATTTTGCATCTGAATAAACCAAAGAAGCTATGTTCCCACTTCAAAGGGAAACAAGAAAGTTAGTCTCTCTGAATTTTTGTCCTAGGCCCCCAAACACCTGATAACATCTAAAAAGAGCCCGATCCCAGACGTGTTTCCAGGACGTTAGCTTTGAACAAACTTAAGGTGACGCTGTCATCAGTAACCCTACCTTCAGTGACTTATAGAATCACACCTATCATTCACCTGCCACTCACCGTTGAGCGGACCCTACTCTGGATTCCTGAAGGAACACATACCCTACATCCCTTTCCAATATAAACCGCTAGCCCCAAGCAAGGAAGAGACTCATTCTCCTTTCCTTTCTGAGTCTCCCAGACACTCAGTCTGCTAAACTCTGTCACTCACACTATTCAATAAACTCTTTTTACTTTCTCTGGCTTGCGTTTGATTTCTGTCCTGTGCAGAGTTGGTCCTACAGGGCCCCCCTCAGGGTCCTCAGACCCAACCTGCCTGCATCATCTTCACCAGACTATAAGCAACCCAAGATAAAGGGCCACTTCTGATTTGGCTCTGTCCTTAGCCTTTCCTGACAACCTGGACACAAGTAGGGCCTTAGGAAATGTTTTAGAGAGAAGGCCTCCTTTCCTAAAATATAAGTGCTTCTGCCTACTAGAGGCTCCTTGAGGACGGGTTCTGGTCTCGGTCCTTAGCACCTACAGGACCTGCAAAACAGCAGGGGCCCAGTAAAATGCTGCCTTAATATTCATTTAACAAAAAATGTTTGAACACTGGGTGGATGGAGTCTCTCCAGTCTTGTTCAGCCAGTGTCCCACTAGCCCGTGTCCCCACCAGTGTCCCACTTTGGAGGGATACTGCTTGCAACAGTGCCACAGATTAGAGCTCTAGTATTCCAGTCTCGTAAGTAAAAACCAGTGATCCCAGGCTGCATATCCGTCAATGGGACGATGCATAAGTGAGATGATGTGCAGGAAAGTGTTTTGCAAATACCAAAGCACCAGCAGATGTAAGTGGTGATAGTGTTATAATTATTATGACAGTGAACAGAGGTTATTTGATGTCAAAGCTTTTAGAGTCAGAAACATCCTGCATTGGGTCCTCCTAGTCCCTCCAATTTCTTGCTCTGTGACCTTGGACAAGTTGGTTAACCTGAACACATATCTCTGAGTGTCAATTTCCACCTGTTGCTCTAGGCTGCGCATTGGACATATGATCCCTAATGATCATCTCATGATCTTTATAGTCCATAATAATTATATGATATGGTTTGCCCAAGATTTTATATCTTGCTCTTTTCATGCCTAGCGCAGCCATGGCTCGTGGTCCCAGGAGCATCTGAAGCATGTAGTATTGGATGCTGGATAAACTTACTGGTGTGTTCGCTCCTCACCCATCTACTGGTCCCCATAAGCTGAGAGAATGTCTGCCTCTTAATCATTTTCCTAAGGAACAGACTTAAGTATGTCCTAACAGGAGATGAAGTAAATAAGATCTGTATGTAGCATTTTATTAAGATTGATGGTAACAGGGGAGCCTGGGTGGCTCAGTCGTTAAGCGTCTGCCTTTGGCTCAGGTCATGATCCCAGGGTCCTGGGATCCAGCCGTGCATCAGGCTCCCTGCTCCGCAGGAAGCCTGCTTCTCCCTCTCCCACTCCCCCTACTTGTGTTCCCTCTCTCTCTGTCTCTCTCTGTGTCAAATAAAGAAAGAAAGAAAATCTTTAAAAAAAAAAAAAAAAAAGATTGGTGGCAAGGTCCAAACTGATATAACCTACCCTGCTGGTTTTATGGATGTCATCACCATTGACAAGACTGAGGAGAATTTCTGTCTGATCTATGACACCAAGGGTCGCTTTGCTGTTCATGGGATTACACCTGAGAAGGCCAAGTATAAGTTGTGCAAAGTGAGAAAGATCTTTGTGGGGACAAAAGGAATCCCCATCTGGTGACTCAAGATGTTCGCACCATCTGCTATCCTGATCCCCTCATTAAGGTGAATAACACCATTCAGATTTATTTGGAGACTGGGGAGATCACTGATTTCATCAAGTTTGACACTAGCAATCTGTGTATGGTGACCAGAGGTGCTAACCTGGGAAGAATTGGTGTGATCACCAACAGAGAGAGAGACACCCTGGTTCTTTTGATGTCGTTCACGTGAAAGATGCCAATGGCAACAGCTTTGCCACCCAACTCTCCAACATTTTTGTTACTGGCAAAGGCAACAAACCATGGATTTCTCCTCCCCGTGGAAAGGGTATCCACCTCACCATTGCTGAAGAGAGGGACAAGAGACTGGCGGGCAAACAGAGCAGGGGGTAAAATGGTCCCTAGGTGACGTGATTGAAAGTCTTTATAGTTAATTAAAGATCATACAGCACAAAAAAATTTTTAAAAAATATTTTATATCTCGTGTCCTGAGTGTCCCCTTTCACTCTCCAAACCTTCCTGGTTTGATGAATTGGACTTTATTAAAGGAAGATATATGACAAAGAACTCATATTCAAACTGTATTGAGAACTTCTATAGATCAATAAGGAAAAGACAAATAACTCAATTTAAAAATGGGCAAGACTTGAGCCAGCCAGGGAATATCCACGTGGCCAAAAAGTATATAAAAAGGTGCTAAAGTTCAAGATTCAACAGGGGAACGCCAATTAAAACCACACAGATAGGGGTGCCTGGGTGGCTCAGTCGTTAAGCGCCTGCCTTCGGCTCAGGTCATGATCCCAGCGTCCTGGGATCCAGCCCCGCATCGGGCTCCCTGCTCGGCGGGAAGCCTGCTTCTCCCTCTTTCTTTCTTTCTTTTTTTTTTTTTTGATATATTTTTTTTATTCTTATGTTAATCCCCATACATTACATCATTAGTTCTAGATGAAGTGTTCCATGATTCATTGTTTGTACATAACACCCAGTGCTCCATGCAGAACGTGCCCTCCTCAATACCCACCACCAGGCTAACCCATCCTCCCACCCCTGCTTCTCCCTCTTTCATTCCCCCTGCTTGTGTTCCTCTCTCACTGTGTCTCTCTCTGTCAAATAAATAAATAAAATCTTTAAAAATAAATAAATAAATAAATAAAAATAATAATTAAAAAAACCCCACACAGATAGCACTCAATATACATCCACAAGAATGGCTAAAAATGAAAATTTTGACAATACCAAGTGTTGGGGAAAGTGTGGAAAGAAGCTGAGAACGTTCCAAGTCATCAAGAATAGCAAGGTTTCGGGGACCTTTTTGTTTATTTCTCTTCTCTTTCATTTCAATATAAGTAGCAAGAAGAAACTAGGGACGGTGGGAAGCTCTTCATGGGTCCTTGACATGTTCTATATCTTTTTTTTTTTTTTTAAAGACTTTATTTATTTGACAGAGAGAGACACAGCGAGAGAGGGAACACAAGCAGGGGGAGTGGGAGAGGGAGAAGCAGGCTTCCCGCTGAGCAGGGAGCCTGATGTGGGACTCGATCCCAGGACCCTGGGATCACGACCCGAGCCGAAGGCAGACGCTCAATGACTGAGCCACCCAGGCGCCCAGTTCTTTCTTTTTTTTAAAAAGATTTTATTTATTTGACAGAGAGAGACACAGCGAGAGAGGGAACACAAGCAGGGGGAGTGGGAGAGGGAGAAGCAGGCCTCCTGCAGAGTGGGGAGCTTGATGGGGGGCTCAATCCCAGGACCGTGGGATCATGACCTGAGCCAAAGGCAGACGCCCAACACTGAGCCACCCAGGCGCCCCCAATTTTGAAACTTTTTTTTTTTAAAGATTTTATTTATTTATTTATTTGACAGAGACACAGCGAGAGAGGGAACACAAGCAGGGGGAGTGGGAGAGGGAGAAGCAGGCTTCCCGCCGAGCAGGGAGCCCGATGGGGGCTCGATCCCAGGACCCTGATGCGGGGCTCGATCCCAGGACCCCGGGATCATGACCTGAGCCGAAGGCAGAGCTTAGCGACTGAGCCACCCAGGCGCCCCGACATGTTCTATATCTTGATCTGGATGGAGGTTACATGATTGTGTGAACACGCAAAAGATACACTGAGGACGCACGCATCTTACCGTAGCTCCGTTACACCTCCACATTTCAAAAAGGGTGCTGAGTGTGAGCACGTGCGCGCGCACGAGCGTCCAGGGGCGGAAAACAGAGATTTGGCGCGCGCGCGTGCGCGTGCGCGCGCGGAGGCCGGAGGCCGGGCGTGCGCGCGCGCGCGTGCGTGCGGAGGGGCCGGAAGCAGGACTGGGAAGCCGGAAGCGGGGCGGGCAGTCCGGCCGGAGCGGGTCATGGAGGGTCGCCCGGCGGGTCGTGGGCTGGCGCGCGAGGGGTCGGAGGGGGAGGAGGGGGAGGCCGAGCTCCAGGGAGCTGCCTGGAGCGGGGACAGCGGCAACGTGTCCCAGAGCCACAGCAGCGCGTCGGGGCCGTGGGAGGACGAGGGCTCAGAGCTGGGCGCGCCGGGCCGCGATCTGCCGCTGCTGCGCCGCGCCGCCGCGGGCTACGCCGCCTGCCTGCTGCCGGGAGCCGGGGCGCGGCCCGAGGTCGAGGCCCTGGACGCCAGCCTGGAGGACCTGCTCGCCAGAGTGGACGAGTTCGTGGGCCTGCTGGACATGCTGCGCGGCGACTCCTCCCACGTCGTCAGCGAGGGGGTGCCTCGCATTTACGCGAAGGCCGCCGAGATGCGGCAGGTCTACAGCAGGATCGACCGGCTCGAGGCCTTCGTGGGGATGATCGGCGCCCGCGTGGCCGGGATGGAGGAGCGGGTGGCCAGGGCGGAGGCCGAGCTGGGCGCTTTCCCCAGCGCCTTCCGGAAACTGCTGCACGCGATCAGCGTGCCCTCCTTCTTCAACAAGGCGCCCTCCGGCAGGCCGCCGCAGAGCGGCTTCGAGCCGCCCGTCCTGTTCCGGACCGAAGACCACTTCCCCTGCTGCGGCGAGCGGCCCCAGGTCTGAGTCCGCCGGCCGGCCCCGCGAGGGGACGCCGTCGGGATTACCCCGCGTGCTGCGTCTGCTGAAGTCCGCGGCAGACCTCCACGGTGTTGGGAGCATGGCGTCCTTACCTTTTGCACGCTCTCGTTTCACTGTTTGCAGGGCTTCACGTAAGGATGTGTGGTTTTCTGTGCCTTCCGACGCTAAACCGAGGGCCGCGTGGTCGGGGGCGTCGGGGAAGCCGAATGAATGAGTTTATCGTGCGCTGTGGCAGAGCCGGTTTTTATAGGTTTTACGGCTCAACCAATAGTATTACCTTTTCCAGGTTTCTATGTTTTACACTCTTAAGAAGAACTGCTGAAATGTTCGCGTCTTGTTGTTGTTCGATCCTAATAGCGATTCCATTTTCGGTAGCTTTTAGGGTAGATAGGGTAAGTTATTTCAGGTTATATTAAGCTTTGCACATCACGGGTTGTAAACCGAAGGAAATCATACAGTTTCTGAGAAGATGTATTGATTTGTTGCAACTAGTTCTGAAGTCGTATTTGAAAGTAGGCCCTCCGAATCTTAATTTGTCCACAGCAAACATGTCTATATGTGGTTGCTAACGTCTGGTTTATAATTTAAATATTAATAAAAATTTCAAATTTTATTGGAAAAGCTTTTGTTCTGGAAAGGATTTTACATATTTCTTTTTTCGTTTGTTTGGAAGTAGATATATTGCTCATAATTATAGGGATAAGGAAGAGTGGCTTGGGAGTGAGTACCTCCTTTAGAATGTGAAAAGGCTTAGCTACTATTTCACAGAATTTTATGTTTCTTTCCTCTCAAAGTGAATAGTTAAATCACATCTGTGAATTACTGGTATTAGGATTTTGTTCCTTCACCCACAGCATGGAATCCTAAAGATGTTTTGCAGATACAACAGGCTTTGATCTTGATTTGGATCTTAATCTGTTTTATTAATTGGTCCTCCTAGACAGTAGACCTCAAGCACCCAGCTTAGGTTGCTTTTGTGTCATTTATCGTAGAACTTAGAGGCTGACGGAGTAGGCATATTCTCCCTTACCTGTATATCATGATAAATCTGATCTTGTAGGGATGCCTGGGTGGCTCAGTCGGTTAAGCATCTGCCTTCCGCTCAGGTCATGATCTCAGGGTCCTGGGATCGAGTCCCGGCTCAGGCTTCTTGCTCACCGAGGAGCTTGCCTCTCCCTCTACCTGCAGCGCGCGAGCTCACTCTCTCTCTCTGACAACAACGAAAAAATCTGATAATGTAATTGCACCTTCGCTTTCATGGACGTTCATTGTCGCACATTTATAGTTTTTATTCAGGAAGTTCATTGATTACACATTAAGGAACTCCTGAATTTAGAAGCTGAAAGCACAAGTAAGCTACATTTAATATTGGGCAATCGCTGGGCAGTACCATAAGTAATTAGCATATCCCAATAATATAGTCACCAAATATGAAAATAGCTTTCATACCTAACATCCATGTTGCTAAATGCTTTATATTAAAAAGTAGATAGTAATTAGGGCAAATTATGAAAAAATGAGGATAATTTAATTTTTTTTAAAAGATTTTATTTGAGATAGCACGCACACAAGCAGTGGGGAGGGAGACGCTGACTCCCCGCTGAACAAGGAGCCTGATCCCAGGACCCTGAGATGACCTAAGCCCAAGGCAGATGCCCAACCAATTGAGCTACCCAGGTGTTCCATTTCCTGGCAGTGTTTTAAAAAACAAGCCCTTGGGGCGCCTGGGTGGCTCAGTTGACGGCTCAGGTCATGAGCCCCAACTTGGGCTCCCTGCTGAGTATAGAGCCTGCTTCTCCCTCTGCCTGTCACTCCCCCCTGCTCTTGCTCTCTCTCTCTGGCAAATAAATAAAATCTTAAAAAAACAAAAATTAAACAAGCCCTGGTTTCGATGACCACTTACATGATTACATGTGCAGCTTATCTCTAAGCAACCTTGGGTTCTGAAATTCTCCTAGTCACTTGGGTTGTCCTTGAGGGTTCTAAATAGAAATTAGTGCAGGGCCTTGTTTGGAATGGGGACTCGAAGCTGGTCTGCACAATGCAAGACAGATACCAGATGAAGCTCTTTTGTCTCGAGAACGGGGGCTGGGGGAGCCAGGCCCACCTCTGCTCTGGCATCACCCCCCTCGGACCTTCTGGCTCCTCTCCCACTCCTGACCAGCTGGAGATTTCAGAACCCCCTCTCATCAGTCAATAGAATGGGGGGGCACTAGTTGTCATCCTGGGTGACCCCTGTAGACCTACCCCTGCTTCTGGGGTCTGGAGCTCCCCCACTTTCTAGAAGAATAAACAGGGATGAGGTTTAATAAAACTTGAGAGGGGGCACCCCACCAATCACACCGGAGTCGGTTTGTTCTTCACTCCCACACCGGCTTATAGAGCACAATGCCTGCTTAGTGTCCAGGAGTCCCTAGTCCAAGGGCAGCCTCGGGCGCCTAGGAGCCGGTTCATGAGCATGTGTAAAATTGGGTACTAATGAGCTAGTCGGCACCTTGTGGCTTTTCCTCCCAGCCAGAACTTTTAGGAATATGAGTCTTAGACCATGTGTGAGGAGGTGGATCCATTGTAGATATAAAAGTGCAGGTCATGGGCGCCTGGGTGGCTCAGTCGTTAAGCGTCTGCCTTGGGCTCAGGTCGTGGTCCTGAGGTC